GGGGGGGGGGGGGCATAGGATGTGCTCGGTACTGGGACAGGATGGGACTGAACGGGGCTGGACAAGTTCTGTCTGGCGTTTTATATGATTAGGACATCGCATGACAAAAAATTGTCTAGATAATGTCTGGTAAGCTGGACATGAGTAAACAAAAATGTTATAATAAATGTTTTTTTATTATGCTTGTAAATATTTGCAATTCTGCAGTGCCTTAACGTATCATATTGGAGCATAAATCGTCTCTTAGGAAACATAAATCTAACAGATAAACATTTGCAGGTGCTACAGAAGGCATTGGAKGTGTGGGACCTACAAGTTATCCCCCTGCACAGTCCAGTAGCCGAGCCGGCTCAGGTTGACCCAGAACTTGAGAACGCATTTATATGCCATTTACAAGACCATTGGTTCTGCATCAGGAAGGTGAACGGAGAATGGTACAACTTTGACAGCTTATACGCAGCCCCTGAACATCTCTCCAAATTCTATCTTTCTGCTTATCTCGACACTTTAAAAGGTTTCGGATGGAGTATCTTTCTGGTCAGGGGTAACTTCCCAAAAGAATGTCCGATGACATCTGGTGAAGCCTCCAATGGTTATGGCCAGTGGTTGTTGCCTGAAGATGCTGAGCGAATTACCAAATCCTGCAATTCAGGACAGCGGCAGCAACAGCAAACGCAGCAGTTGCAGCCTCAAAGAACTCCACCGATGGAAGATGATGACCTGAATGCCGCCATTGCTGCCAGTTTGAGAGATAACAGTGGTGAAGTTGGGACCTCCGGGAATGACGATGATCTGGAGGCAGCCATAGCCGCCAGCTTGAAGGATTCTTCACCAGCGGTAACAACCAGCTTGGTGAACAAAGATTTGGATGCTGCAGCACCGGTTGCCACCGCTGATACTACAGCAGTCACAGGTGCCGCCAGTGGTGAAGGCGGCACGTCGGAAAGTGAAAGTATGAAGATCGGATTACAAGATAAGTGAGAAGAGAGTTGGGTATTAAGAGTTGTGTTCCTGGGTTTAAAATGTGTGCATTATTACACACTTCTTTTGTTGAAAATTACCCTCTTGCTTTATTGTAAAGACTTGTCAATTTGTTTGACTTCTATATCGTGGATGTGTGAAGACGGAGTTTACAGAATAAGACAAACTGGTCCTTTTTTTCATGGTAAATTGTAGCAAAATTTAACAGGTTTTTGTTTTTGGAATGTATTTTTAAAAGGTGTATTTTGGAAGATACTACGATGGCATTTGGTTCATTGAGTGGAATTTAAATTGTAACGTGGGAATTGGAATGAAATTTGATTAGGTTTGATCTGATTGTTTGTCGTTGTTGAGGTGAAATTTGTCTGTTTGGTTTGGTAATACTGTGTTCTTGACTCTTCTTTTAACGAAGGAAAGGAGGTAGAAAGAAAAAATATTGCGTTACCCAAGCTTTTTAGGAGAGAAAGGGGAAGAAAATGAATAGGAAATGACAAGAAATGAAAGGAATATAAAAATTAAAAATATTTATAAAATTACGTATCCACCATCAATTACAACCAGTTGAAAAATAAATAAGGGTATTTTTGTAAACATCTTTCCTTTTATTTTTTCCTCTCTTTAATGCAACTTTGAAAATATAATAAAATAATGATGGCTAAAATACCCTTTTATGGTGGTGGCAACGGCAGTGGTGGTGATGGGGATGACGGTGGTGGCAATGTCGACAACGATGACAACAATACCGGTGGCAACAATGATAATGACAACAATGGTGACGATGGTGGTGATGGTTATCATCGTAAGTTGGAATGAATTAGAGTAAGGTGGCGTTTGTTTTTTAAGAGGTGCTGAAGTCTGATTTCACTTCTGATTTTTAAGAGGTGGTGCTGAAGTCTGAAATCTGAATCAGTCAGACTGTTTGTTTTTACGTCTGAAGTCTCAAATCTGAATCAGTTAGACTGTTTGTTTTTACGTCTAAAGTCTGAAATCTGAATCAATATAAACACGAACAAAGTCTCAAAACAACTAGAATCAATATTCATTTTGCATTAATTGTGTTGCCATCATTCCCTTGCTAATTGGTTTGATTATACTCAAAAAATAACTCATATGTAGGAGAAAAACACTAGAAAAAGAGAGGTATTATGAATAGATTGATAAACTTTCTTTTAGAAACAGATGAAAATAGTTT